TGGCTTTGCAAAATTGCTGCTGTGTAACTAACATGCAGAGAGGTCGAGACAGTTTCCCAGAGCCATCACACCAGCTTCAGACAGCTAAGCCTAACCCTAATACTGACCTTGTTAAGCAGAATGAGTATCGGCCAAACATCACTTATCAACATTATATGTATACATGCATTTAATTCAATAAATACCTTTGCAGGGGTAAGCTGACGTGCAAAAGCTTCTGACGAGACTTCGCCTCTTCCCGCATGTAATTAACAATGAATGCATCTTAATGTAAAAGGGAGTGGTAGGTTTTTACTATGAAATGGGAAGTTGTGATAATGACATATATAGTTTTTCTAACAAAAAAGGGTTGATAATGTGGCATTAATTATTAATTAATTAATTACATTACATTAATACTTTCTTCCACACTAATGGTGTGTCTGTCATTATGAGGTTGAAGCAATTTCATAAACTTTCCACAGGTAAGTTTAGCTTACACGTATCAATCTGTTAAGTATAAAGAAGTTTACAGATTTTACATCTCTGAAAAGTCTAAGTTCGGGTATTGGAATCAGTGTAGGGGAAGAAAGACTTGGATCGGTACATCTCTACTTGTAAAGATAAAGATAATGATATGAGCTAAATTATTGAGTCTGGCCATTTGTCCTATTTGTCCTGTCCCATTTTACACAGACCTGAAAACAGTATCAACACAGATGATCCTGATTAGATAAGCTGCCCAAGAAAAAATTTCTTATCTGTTTGTCTCAGCTGGTCTTCCTGAGTCAACCAGACTTTAAATCTGTTCCCTCTCAACTAAAGACCTCCTCTCTCTGTCTGTCCACCTGACCGGCAACACTCTGTATCCTTTTCTAAAACCCATAACTCTCCCTCCCTTGACCATTTTTCACAGACACTCTACTCTAAGTATCCTAAAATCTCCTGCCTTTCACCCATCTCTTACCAATTTCTGCGCTTTCCTTCCATTTCTATATCCACCCTAGACTCCCTCATCCCTCTCTGATCTTCCTCTCCTGTTCCTTTTCTCCCCTCTTCCAGTAAGTCAAAGCCTCTCTTTCTTCAGGCTTATAAACTCTTGTGAGCTGTGATTTTAAAAAGGAGGATAAAATCACACCTCTGAGACACAACCTTTGCCAGCACCTGATAAAGAAAACTTAGGGCTTTAGTGTAGGACAGTCCAAATATCATTTGTACATTAAAGCAGGCCATGCAAGCAAGAATCCAGAGAGACTTAAACCTGTAATGTCAGAGATAAAACATTTTGCTGGACAGTCAATATGCTAAAAGTATTGTCATTGAAGTTACTTAAAAATTTTATGTGAATATCTTTAAAATAATTCTGGTGGAATAGGATTTTCTACGCAGACATTGATACAAATTTTGAAAAAAATGGGTCCACTCTGTTACTTCCAACCCAAGCATCTTGGACCCCATTTACACTTAGTCACTGCATATGTTGTGGGCATATCGGCAAGCTATCGGATAACAAAATAGCAAAGTGTAAATGGATCCAAGAAGCATCTGAGACAGATTGAAATCAGACTGCTCAAACCACCTACGCATTCTAGCCAGATGCAAAAAGGTCTTCATGCATTTGTCTCTCCAAGATATGTAATCTGTGTTTTTCCAAAAGTGTAACTATGCCAGGAAGCAGTCTGTCTGTGGAAATAGGCTTTCCATCGTCTGTTTCAACACACATTAACACAGGGGTGTTAACGGCAATCAAAATGTGTGTTGAAATTGCCCTGTGGAACCTTTTTGGCTCGCTCATAGTTGTTATTGAGTAAGTATATAAATAGTTATTAACAAGGTAGTTCAGCTTCAGGTGCATTACCACCACCCTCTGGACTGGTTTAGGGCTAGAGCTGCACAATTAAATGAGATTATTGAAATTGCAAGGTCAAGTGCAGTATCCAAATCACAGAAGTGGCAGTTTTTGATGAAGGTAAAATGTGTGACAAAACAGCATCATAATGAAGTACTGTTGAGCTGCAGAGATACCGTGGCCTATGAATCTTGTTCTCCAGCTGTTTGTTACTGTGTATTAAATTGCATCTGGATTTAATCCAGTTTAGGGACACTTAAAATGACATTGTGTAAATGGGGCATTGCTGTCTGCCACAGTGTCATTCTTGATACTACCACCTGATGGCGCCAATGAAAATTATTTTCACATCATACTTGTAGTGACTTTAAAGCTGTGATTCTATAATTGTTATTTTTATGATAACAAAACATCACAAAACATCAAATGACATGTGAAATCAATGAGACAATGTAAAATGAGTTGCTCGTAGTCTTCAGCAGCTTCCCTCAGTTTTACAGAGAGTGAATATTGGACGACTCCAAATGAAGGATAGTGTTGCTCTGTGACTGCTGGATGTGAAAATAAACAACTGTTAACAAGTTCACCTTAAAAGGTGAAAGGTGATGATATGTCAATGTTGCTTTCACAACTTGTCTCCACTGCCTCCTAGTGGCCAAGTTGTGCAAGTTTAATTAGATGACACTTTATAAGTTAAGTATTTAGGGACGGCTGGTATATATGGGCTAACAGGGCTAAGCCCCCCCCTATCTTTTAGAGTAAAGATGAAAAACTATTATTAAAAACCTTAGAACATATTGTTTTGAATTTTGGTAGAACCTAGAGCAGCAACAGCACCAAAAAGTGACAGAAAAAACCCAGGATATATGATATATCTTGGGTTTTTTCCTGTGAATGGGCTAAATTCATTCAGCCCAAGCACAGTAGCGTAAGCTTCCATTCAATTGTGATTGACAGGTGTCGTGACACGCCCCCTTCATATGCTGCCCATTTGGGCTAAATTCATTCAGCCCAAAGGCTGACGTTCGACCAATCACAGCGCAGTAGCTGCAGTACAGTGACCATCAACCAATCACAGTAGCTACAGTACAGTGAGGCTAGTTCGTAGTATGAAGGGCATTAGCATGAACATGAACGAGGTGGATTATTTATTTTCTAATCAATTTTTTTTCAAGTCTTTGGAAGATTGGAAATACAGATATTGGGAACACATCATCCAAACGATGTTCAAATAACACAAAAGGACAAACCACAAAATTGTAATTTTGTGTTACGTGGTTTCAACTAACGGACTGGCTAACAACAAGTGTAGCTAGGAATTCACTTTTCTGTTTCCCATGTTCGCTTTTTGGAGGAGACTCGGCTTGGAGCCAACAAGGAATTGTAGATTTAAAATATTTATCCGACAAAATTAGGAAACATGAATGCAGCACGAGCCACATCAGAAATAGCGTAAAGCTGTCATTGCTGGGTAAAGTGAACATCGGCTGTCAGCTTAATGAGAGTCACTGCATCCCGTACAGAGACACAACGAGCTGGTAAAGAAAAACAGGCATTCACTATCACGGATTGTGGACTGTATTACATTTTGTGGGGGACACAAGCTTGCCCTGCGGGGGTCCGACAAATCTCCCACTTCACTCCAGCAGGGACCAGTTCTCTTTCAATTAGCCGATCACCTGTCAAACACACAGGTTGCAAAGTACACGTCTAAGACCACAGATTCTTTCAAAACGAGACAGGCCCTGGAGAATTCGTGCTTCATATCTGAACTGCTGACCAGAGATGACCATCAGCCACATCTATATGCAGACACAGCTGCAGCCGCTGTAATGCTGCGCAGGATGCGGCGCTCTGATAATGTGTCAGTAGCCGCACAGTGCGCTTTGAGAAAGCCAGGCACTTGTTGCATGTGCACATTACCCAATGATCTGCAGGGAGACACTGAAAGGTGAGCTGATGGTGAGGTACAGCACTGTGGAGTTTGACATGGTGATTAACCTGTTGGCGTCACAGAAAGGCCGTCAATGTGAGCTGCGTTTTAAATAAGGTATGCCCAAGCTCTGAAACTCTCTCTTCTACAAATAATTATTTTTGCTTTGGTTTTATAAATTTATTTCTGGTACATGGTGTTACAAATTGTTGCTGTACGAGAGAGAGAGAGAGAGAGAGAGAGAGAGAGAGAGAGAGAGAGAGAGAGAGAGAGAGAGAGAGAGAGAGAGAGAGAGAGAGAGAGAGAGAGAGAGAGAGAGAGAGAGAGAGAGAGAGAGAGAGAGAGAGAGAGAGAGAGAGAGAGAGAGATCCCCAGTGTTGCCGTAGAGCACTTGCTATAACAAAGTATACAATGTTGTTGCTGTAACTTGATGTGATGCTGCTATTGCAGTTGTGTGACGTATTCATGAGTGTAATGCATTTGTTAGCCCACCCACCCAAAATCTTCACCAGCCGTCACTGTAAGTATTATATTTTATACTATTGGATTTACCACTCTGCAGGATAGGCTAGTGTGCATTTGCGGCTAGCAGTGCGTAAAATAATAACACATATTTTCATATGATATCAAAAAGTGCAGAACTACATTCTTCCTATGAGTGTCGGTTGGCATATTTCAGGCTATTGAAACTTTGTTGCAGTGCCGCAGACAACTCAGCAGTTTCAGATTGTTGCAATTAACTACAATTGATGCTAGTAGTGGGCTGCTGTGAAGTCTTATTGACTCTGACTTTGTTCTGCATTATTTAAAGAGAATAACCTCAATAGTTCACTAATTTCAAAGATGAATTTGCCTCCATGGTTAAAAGCATTTCATCAGCGAACCTACAAGCAGGTGTGGTGGACAGATGTTGTTAATAAGCAAGACAAAATTTGCTAGGACTTCCTGATGAACCACAACATTATCAAATGAGTGATGCTGCTTTGAAAATAGAATTGTTCCTTGAATGTCTATTCTCACCAGAGCAGCAAAACAGAGACCTAAATTTCACCAAAATAACAACACCTTGCCTTGCACTGTCTCAGCTGCACGCAGCTCCAGCTGGTTGCAACTCCTCTTTCTCTCCTCATGCCAAACTGTGGGCATCACACATTTCAAGGTCAGAAAAAGTATCACTGTGACATTACGCAATTTGTGCAAGACTCTGCGCCATAACCACAATCAAAGGGACTGACTTACCATATTTATTGATGACACTGGTCCGATGCTGTTCACAAATATGTCGACATCTATAACAGTTGGTTTAACTGTGGAAGAAAAGAGCAAAATAAGTATTGATCATGACTTTCATTTAGGCACAATACCTGCCTCTTTTGTAAGTCAAAGTGAAGTCAGATCGATGAGACTTTGTTGTTCTGAATCGTTTGAAGAGCGCATAGCTGCTGTGTGAACTGTCCTCAGGGAGCTGTGGTTGTTAATAATGATCACACGTTAGTCTTCATCACATAAAACACCTCTATGGGTGTTCTCTTGAATGCAGCAATTATGCATCCATGCATTCACAAATGATTAAAGAAACACGTCACAGATGCACCATAATGCAGCAAGGTATGCAAACAACTCCACGTAGAATATCAGAAGAACATCAGAGGAGGTGCAGGGTAGTCCTCTGGTTCTCAAATCCACTTATCCCTGCTGGGTTTCACTCCAGCAACTAATCATGAGCTGAATTACATCTGGGACGCCAGATGAATGCAATTAACTGATAAACCGGCAGCGCTTCTATCCCTGATTGGACCGAGATTGAGCGCTGTGGTGGTCTTTGTCCTATCCCAATATCCGATGTTTTCTACCTAACCTGGAGGTAGAAGAAAATTCCACAAATTAAACAAAACCAGAACCTCCAGTTTTAAATACTAAACAATGGTATTCATCAGCAGTAGAGTAGGGAACACAGGTTTGATGCAAATGCAGAATCAGTACAGCTAGCGGGGAGCTTACAGCCTAAAACACCTTACCTGTGGTGGTTTGCCTTACCTTATAAAGAACTGATTTAATCACAGCTTTATTTCACCATAGCCTTGAGATCCTTCAGTCTTCACTCAGCTTACATTGGATTTATATGGACAATAATCCCACAGAATTTGGGTCTGTTATAGGGACATGCACAGACATTTTGAGGGGCTGTTGACATGTAATAATATTGCATGACCTCATTTAAACATGACAAGCTGTGCATTGTTCAGAAGCATATGTGGAGATTCTTTTTCCCTCTGGCTCTGGGTCGCCCCACCTCTGTGTCCTGCAGAGGCATACCGATCAATAAATAATAGGAATTGGATGATAGAGCAATGAGTTAAACTGGTCTTACAGGTGTTGAGAAATTTGAATAAAGTCTTTTGTGGGTGCACACTGAGTGCCTGGTGTGATGTCATATGAGGCAGCATTGTTTGGAGCGAAAGACTACAAGTTTGAAATAGAAGTGAGAAAGTGAGGACCTCTGTAGCCTGCTCTCTGGTTCTGCTGCACTGGTTTCTTTTTTACGTTTTTACAGAACTCTGCAAGGATTAACAAACAAATGTTTAAAGGTTTTACTCACTCACTTCACCCTCCCTTTCCAAGTGCAAGGGAGAAACCACGGTGGCCGCGAAACACGCGAAAAAGGGGAATGCCCCTATCTAGAGCCAGTGTTTGGTTTTTCCATTTTGACCTTCTGTAGCAGCATGGTGGCCCCCACAAAATGTGCCCTGTGGCGTCTGTAGATTGAGACGGTTCATTCTAAGTAAACGGAAACACGATTGTTATTATCAGGTGATTATACCCTCATGAAAACATACCAGTGAATATTATTTTCTATTTCTAGCCAGTAGATACTCTAAAATATAACTTATGTATCTCAGTGGCATAAGATAATACATTAAATCAAGAAGAATTACCAAGGCAACAATTCACAACATGTATTTCAGTCAAGGTGAATCATTCCACTCTCACTAGTTTGACTATCTGTGCTGTGTCCCACTAACCGTTATTGTGAGCTGTCAGGGGGGCTGAGTCATATCATTACACATATGCCACACTTAGCCAACAACTGCCTCCACCAGGAAGGTCCTGGTAGACGGAAACAGAGGTCTGCCATAACAATTTTCAACCAGATTTCACAGCCTGCAGCAGTACATCAACATACACACTCCTCACAGTGCATGCACACCCAATTGGAAGAACACATTACTCCTTACTATAGCCTACAGTCTAACTCCTCCTCCCCGATCTGGCACCTTCACTCACGGTAGAACACCCCTGGCTTTCCCCAACTTTGCTGCTCTTAAGGATTTCATGCTCAGCGTAAAAGTGTCATTCAAAGCTTGAACTTTTAAACCGCCTAAGTGACAGCTGTGACATACTGCTGCCATGAGCGTTCACATTTACATAGCAAAGAGCTCCTCCATCATTTTACATTACCTGTCTTTGGAGTCTTCATGTCTCAGCCAATTAAGTCCACAGCGAGAATTTTTCCACCTGCCAGTCTCCGTTCCATCGTTCAGTTCACGTGCTAACAGATGGCACACTAGAGAACACTTCTGGAGAGTCCCTGCTGAGGCAGATTTTCAAAAGCACTATATTCATAACCACACAACACCTGGTGAGCCAACTGCATAGATCTCCTGCATAAACCTCTAAAAATAAAACTGAGACAAATAGCTTCAAATATTTGAGTGCAATATTTGACAAAATCATTCCAAAACCTTTTATGATAACTTTTGTTCTCGTTTGTATATTTCTGTACATCACGGTATAATCAGCACCCGTTTCATGCTGTATAACCACCAGATGGGACAGGGCTGCAAACACTTCAAACATACTCCTACGAGTGAGTTAACAGCTCGTTGTGTGTAAGCTGTCAGGTAAATAATGTGTCAGCTTCTGCAACAGGATGTATTTTGACCTGAGGAACAGCCACCAAGACAAGAAATTAATTGGAGACAATCAACCCTGCTGGTTGTCCATCAACACAACGCTGCTCTGCTTCTCAGTCCTCTACGATCTCCTGACCTGATCTTCTTTCCCCAAACAGTGTGTTCATATGCAAAAATTTCATCTAATTAATAGAGATCAATAATGATCACAGGAACTTTTCATCAGGTCACTCCCCAAAAGAAGACACGTAAGTTCTCTCCTAATAATGAGGTCTTACAGAGTTTCACAGCAGTCAAAACCCAGACAAAGAGAAGAAGAAAAAACTCAATATTTTTGTGATCCCACTGGACAGATAAACTGGCTCATTACACTGTTTCCAAAAGAGAATATCACCGGCACAGAAAAGGTTTAATCTAATTTAGATTACAAATGTGATCCACAGTACAGTACATACTTCATTATAGAAAGGTGCACTGCTGCATAACCCTGTTTCCTATGAATTAGGCTCATATGCAGCCAATTTGCATTTGTAATTTATGTTCAGCAGGAAGTAGTATGACGTTCATAAAGTGCAATGAAAAATAAGAATGAGGAGGTCGGGGTAGGGGGTGTGCGCATAAGGATGTTACTGAAACACACTGAGAACATTTTCCATCTTTATGTACAGATTACATTTGAATTGATTCTCTTCTTATGGTCTTTACCTTTAGTCTCTTGTTAGAGTGGTACCCACTTTGAAAGTATAAATGGCTCACATAGATATGTGAAGAGCTGAACAGTTATAAAAAAAAGATGAGCAGGAGGAACATTTTGAGCCACAACCTTAGAGAGAAAACAGAGAAAAGATCTGCAGGATATCCACAATGGAATATAACATGTGACCCATGGTCAATGAAAGCGTGTGCAAAAGCACCTGCTCTGTTAATTCCTATAGGCACAGCCTGCTATATACAAAGGAGCCAGGTGAAGTGGAATATAAATCAGAGTGATTATTTATCTTCTCAGACACCTTTCTACTGTTTAATGGTGTACATTTTACCATAAGGATTTTGTGGGCTTTTTTGGGATTAACATGGCCTAAAATGACGAAAAGAATTACGATGCATGCTGCAATGTTTTTAGGCTTTTTTTTTTTTTTTTTATATATATAAAATAGTTTGCGATTGTTATTTTTGTATAAATCATTTAAAATCAAAGGCATCCTATTCCAGTGAGAAAAACATCCAAATAATATACTCAAACTGGTGACTCTATGATACAAGAACAATCCTTTCCATGTCACTGATGAACTGGTGCGGATGGTTACTTTTTCAATATTTTCACATGTTATCATGTAAGTAACCACCAAGCGCATATTTAAGCTCCTTTTACAGGGTTCTTATTTAAACAAACTTAGTCTACAGCAATGCTCGCACATCAGTGCAACAATGGTGCTTTGAGCTAAATGCTAACGTCAGAATAACATAATAACATAAGAATGACAATGCTCTTATGCTGATGTTTAGCAGGTATAATGTTTACCATGTTCACCATCTTACTTTAACATGTAGTAAAGGTAAAGTAAAGACTGATGGGAATGTCATTAGTTTTTCAACACTATATCAAAAGTTATTACAATTATATTTCAGTCTGTCTGGACCAGAGTGGTAGACAGCGCAGAGGTACACCGCTAACATGAGACTGTCAAAAACTGTCACCATTATGATGAAAAGCTGCTTTTGTCTACTTAATCAAGGACCCATTGTTTAAAATAGGGCTGCACAAATAATCTAAATATTATCGAAATTGCAATATGGCCAAATGCAATCTCCAAAAAGCAGAAGCTGCAAGGTAAGGTGTTTTCCCCAGAAAAAACAACAAATGTCACATCATTACAGTTTTCAGTGAAATTTAAAATTGTGATGCAAAAATTATCACTCCCACTAATCATGAATTATATCACAATCACAATATCTGTCAAAATAATCACACTTATCCTTTTTTATCTTATGCCCTAGTTAAAAAAATTACTCAAGCAGTAAATCTGCCACTGTTATTACTCTAAACTGCATGTGTGACATGCTATAATGGAAGGCTTGATATAGCAACAGTAAACTTGGGGGTGGCAATTAGCAGCGGGTCGACTGTCAATTAAATGTCAAAGAACCAGCTTTCAGCACCAACTAACAACAGCTCACCTTACTGTGAAATAGCAAAGGGACGGACAAAGCTCAGTTCATGGTCAGGAAAGTAGCACATTGTAGCGCTGCTTGTGTTAGTCTTTGCGCTGCAACACAAATAGACCCTACGGTATGGGCTGTAAAAGACTAAAAAACAATAAGTAGTTCAGTTGTTAATTATGTCCCTTTGAAAATGTGCACCTTTGGCAATGAAGCAGCATTGCATTACTTCC